CGCCGCGCGCGAAGGAATGTAGCAGAATGCAGCACCAAATAGGAAATACAGGAACAAAAGAACTAACAGTAGAATCATGCCAAAAGTAATAATAGCATGGCGATCGAGCTGTATGAAGAACGCTAGAGCCGTAATAACGGCGAAACGAAGTCCGTGACAGCCGCGTGCGGCGAATCGATTATACAAAACCGTTCCTACTGCCCGTCTCTCCAGTTAACGGCATATTCGATTACTCTTTATTTCAACAGGTGTTATTCGCAATCATGATTTACCCATTCGGGAGTTTGCTCGTGGTGATGTTGTTACCATTTCGATCCTGACCAATGGGCAGATTATGGGACCAGTGGCGATTGGTGCCGCACTTATGTCTTCCCAAGAGATGACAACGAGCATGTTTACGGTAAGAGCTGTATAAAAAAGTGAGCCAGTAGGCCACCAGGAAATCTCAATTAGCAACTCTTCTGCTGTTATGACGCCTTTATTTTCAGGGGAAAGGAGTCCAACCGCTACATATTTACAAAGACTTCTTATGGTAGGATATTTTTCGATCTAAAATTCTGCCTTATTGGCTGTCTTTCTCATCGTTTTTGGACTGCCTCTAGCATTCGTGGAGGCCATCGTCTGAATCTTGATGTTTCCACTAACGGTGTCGTAGTAACTTTGGTTTTGTGGTAGCTTCCGATAATATCACTAAGCTACTCGTCAAATTAGATCTATAAAGGGAGTTTGGATCGCGTGTGATTCCGTCAATTCTGGACCTACAATCGCTTCTCAAGGCCGAGGAAACAAATGAAGAATCTGTAGAAGAAGGGGTGCCATCGCTAGATGCGCTATCGCTCTCTGAGCAGAATGGCAGTGCTAAACCTACCACCACAAAAGGTTCGTTATTACCTTTAGTAGATGAGGAAGCCAATCGTCCTTCCAGTCGAGGCTAGCATGAATGTTTTGTGCATTAGGTCTTGGAATCGCTGTATTGCAGATGAAGCTTCCGGTCCGGCGGTAGTTGAAGAGGAGGGTGTTGCATCTGATGATAAAGACGACGAACCTATGGATCAACTAGTAAGGTGTTTAACCTGCAGTATATTATACAAAATTGTATTTTGTGAATGATCATGGGTGTATGTTACAGTTGTATCGGTGCTTCTTAGCTGCGCTTAAGTATAGGTTAGATCAGGTGCCAATGGATGTAGGTCAGGTTGGTTTACATAAGACCCTTCTTGCCTTTCTGATGAATATTCCAGCTGTGAACGCCAATTTTATGAAATCGGTTTTCGTTTAGTTCTACGCTCAATGTCTACTGAAATGTGTTCCAAATGGGAAACGTTTAGAAATGAAAAGGACTAAGTACAAGAAGTTCAGCGTGTTCCTTGACGAGGTGAAATGATCAATAATAATTTGCAATCTTTTAATTTGTTTACGCAGTTTTGTTGGAGGTCAACAAGAATGAAGATGGTCCACTTGTCAAGATCCGAAAAGAAGGAAAAGGATGTGATATGATAGAAGAGGTTCGTTTTCATCGAGGCTTCAATTGCTCTGTGTCCCTATCCTCTACTTCTTAGGTGTTCAAAAACCATCCTGCTCTCCGGTCATTTGTAGTCACAGATGAGATAACGAAAGATGAAGAAGCTGAGCAATCGAAGTCAGGCCCCAAGATCTACGATTACTTCTCGGTTTGTTTTCGTGGATTTATTGATCTCCATTGATATTCCCCAATAAAATAATTGATTTTCTGTTAAGATAACAGATGCTGTGCTGCCTTTGTTCAAAACCAGGGGTAACTTTTCAAAAGGGCAGTTGCTGGATGGCCCAAAAATTCGTGAACTAATCACCGATTACGTTAAGAGTGAGGTTTGTGGTTTCTAAATAAAGATTATTATCGCCAAATATGTACATGTTTTCGTTTGTTTTTTGTTGTTTTGTGCTTGTTGTTGTTGTTGTTGTTGCTGCTGCTGCTGTCAAGAAAACTGGGGAGGGCTCGGTCTTCTGGAAGCTTCTTTATCTTTTAAAAATATTCTCTTTCAGGAATTGAATCAGGGCAAACATGTACGATTGGATCCGATTCTTGCCCAGGTGACGAGAATTTCAGATGATACTACAGACTGGAATACCCTTATACAGAAAATTCAGGTGAAATTTCTTGTCAATTACCTTTGCTTCAGTGTTCTCATGAGGTGATGAAGGTAAATTACAGAGCAAAATGACGAAAACTTTCGTTATGCGGATGCCAGATGGTAGAGAGATCATCAGAAAAATTACCATGCCGAGGGTTGTTTTTAAGGTAATCAACTTGATAGTTCTTGATTATTTACGGGGTGTACCTACCATATAATTGTTGTGTTCAGATTGCCTACCTTGAAGTATCGGTTGTACTTGTACCATTTTCAGGTGGAAACTCGTTCAGGAAACAAGAAGGTGACTTTGATAAACAATTTATCAGCTTTCGGTATCGAGGTAAAGAAGTTGTGCCATCAAATACAGGTATATTTCATATGAATAGACAAAATGAAACATAAATTTCGAAGGATATACCCATTTCAATCTAGGTGGAAGCAGCGACGAGCGCTACTACTACTAACGAAGCGGTCAACTGTGAAGGACCACAAGTTACCGTTTTGGGAAACCACGTAAGGAACTCGTGAAGTCGTTTAATCCTATCAGTTCTCAATCGAATCAGATTTTTCCTGACAATCGAATGAATTTGAGCAAACAGAATTGAGGAACTTAAGCTCTAATTTACAGGTCACCTACCTCGGCGATATGCTTTCAAAAGAGTATGGCATCGATAAGAAGTATATGGATGGACTAGACCTTGGAATAAAAAAGAAGAAAAAGTAGCTATGCTGTCTGGGTCAATTTGTGCTTTCTATCGGGTAAAGAATAAATAATTTCTAATTATCTCCTCAGTCAGCCTGTAACTGATGTCATTTACTTTTCTGGTGGGAATGCTTTTGTGTGAAGACCAGTCGCAGCAATGCGGTTACCCTCTTTAAGGATAACGTCAGCCTAAAAACTTTTAAAAAATTAGGCGTGAAAGATCATTCGTAATGACTTTGTACTTAAAACAGAAGCAAAACGAACTCTTGTGAATGCTAAAGTTTTGCCTGCTTTGATAACTTCAGCATCCATTATTACGGTATCGCCTTCTCGAATTGCTGCCAAGTATCTGAATAAATGCCAGCTAACAAATCGAAAGTGTAGTACAACATAGGTCAGTCTTCAACGATATCTCCCCCTGCCTACCTTCCGTTAATGCATAATTATAATGATATTTCAATGCATGTTATGCAGCGAGTGTTTTCATCGTCTCAGGTGGGTTTGACTCTGATTTGGGCCGTGAGCAGTTGGATAAAAGGTATAGTTTGCCTAATCAGGATATGAAACATAAACAGTATGTGGTAGGGTCGTCTAAAACTACCCACCTTCCCTGCTCTCCCATATCATGGACATTAGTTCACATTGTAATTGTTACAACATAAAAAATGCATCATCCGTGTAAGCGATTTCTGGTGAGCACCGTTTCCACTGTGAATGTCATCACTAATATTGCTACTATCTAAAGTACATGAGAAGGGGCAGGATTGATTGCCCTGAAAGACTCATCGTCAGAACACCATTTAGACAAAGGCAGGGTAGGTGTTAATGGTATTCCACAGTAGTTCCCATCAACTGTTAATAAACATGAGCAACTTTACGGTTTCCACTTTGGCACCCACCATCAAGAAAGGTCTGACATCAAAAGGACAGCTGATTCAGCACTTTCCGAGTGTGGAGTGAATGGGGAACTCGTACAATCCAGTGCACGTTGAGAATCATTAAAAGACAGGAAAAACTGGTTCAAAAAAAAAACAAGCTAAGTGCTTCTTATGGATTCTCCAACTACAACGCACGTGTGAACTCCTCCTATGGGTGAACTGTTCCTATGGGTTCCTATTTCCTTCATACTTATGTAAGTCAATATTTATAGCATTACTGACAACTCTTGAAACTGAGGAGTCGAAGAAAGGAAAAGAGGAAAGCTCATCATGGGTTCAACGGAATACCACAGTACGAATTGTCTTACTCTGATTAAAAGCTAAGAATCCCAAAAGAAATTGTAATCCGACAAACTGGTGTCCTTATACAATATATTTGTTGAACTTACGTCACATGTAGGTCTACGCTAACTCCGGGCTTTCCTCGTGGAGTCACTAAACAAGCCAGAGTTGTAACGACATCGACCAGGGTGGCCGTGCAACCTCCGTGGAGGCCACCCCATGGATTCGTCATAGCAGGCGTTACTTCGAATTCCACTTTCACACGACCTTCAGAAACCGAAATTGGACGCAACTAGAATGAGGCGAATTTTTAAGCAACAAACGGCATTCACAAACTCGAAAAAAAGGAATTTTGCCATAAAAAATGTAACAAAGCTTACTCCTCCTGCAAATTGCATGAAGTTTTTTGATTTGTTGCACATTTCCACATATTTCTTCGCGACTTGTAAATATTTTGTTGCACACATATTGCACTGAAAATCCTGTAAACAGCACCGCTATTTGCTTGTAAACAGAAAACTCATCCAGCAAAATAATCCAAACTTACGTCGGAATTTTAGCATCGAGCCTCTCGCGACAACTATTCATCAGGCGAGTCAACTATCCAATTTACTACTTCATACTTCAACTGATCCGTTGTTTTACTTATACCAACCAGGGATTAGTACAAATGACTTGAGCATTCCTAACTATATGGTAAGTATATCCTCGCTATCTTGTGCGTGTGCAATTGCGTCTGCCCAGTTGAGCAGGAACTCGTCCCATGACTAGCATGCCCCGAGTTCCTAAACGGTCATTGGTCTGGGAATCTTGTTTTAAAGTAACCTTTACAGAAATTCTTTGCTGGGATGGACAGCAACGGCATTTCCCGCTGGGCACCACCTCCATACGTTCTTCCATTACAATCTTTTGGTGCACCATATGAGTGCCGGTCGCGTGTGTATTTTCTAGCCCAAACTGCCCAAACTCTATTCTGGTAAAGAACTGGTACTTGACCAGTTCATGACACCATCAACTGTCATGTGAATGATCCCTAGATCACCCCGACCGACATCGACCCAGGTCAACGTAGTCATCCACCCTTCTATTTCCGTAGAGTGGGTTAATTGGCATTCAGTTTATTCGGTAGCATAAATGCTCTGACTTCGGTTGACGGGATCCTGAATGGGGTACGAATGCGTGTGTCGCGCCGTCGGTGACGCCCTTCCGCATCGGTGGCCACTCGGCAGGACGTCCCCGGCGGCGTGAGCTAGGTGACCGGGGTCTTCTGCCTCTCGCCATGCTCGTATTCAACTGCCACACGGACTTGGTAAGCCTAGGGCTGCCCCAGTCTCCCTTGCAGGCTCCTACGTGATGGTACTGCCTCCGCAGTACGCTACGGGGTTTATAGCCCAGTGCCGAGATCCCTCGGACACTGGGCACTCGGTCCGACCAGGGCCTACGTGGTTACCCTCACCGCTCGAAGACAACTGCGATATGAACGATGTTACTGACATCCTACGTATAACCAGCACACATATATGATACATATTTTATGATATACTACGTCAATACGATATGGAATGTAAATACGATTAAATAAATAAAGGCACTATAAAAATACTGTGAGGAAAATACTATAGAAAAATACTATGAAAAGAAAAGCAAGAAATATACACGANATAAAAAAAATAAAAATAAATAAATAAAAATACATCATCCGTGTAAGCGATTTCTGGTGAGCACCGTTTCCACCGTGAATGTCATCACTAATATTGCTACTATCTAAAAAAGTACATGAGAAGGGGCAGGATTGATTGTTCTGAAAGACTCATCGTCAGAACACCATTTAGACAAAGG